TTTTCATAAGCGTTTCATATTCAAAATTTTTGACTTTTTTCAATTTTTTTAGGTTCAATTACGAATTATGGGTATAAATAATAAGAATTTTTTCGCTGCCTGTTATAGGATCAATATCACGGACGCCATTTGTCCAGCAGCTGAGCAACTCGCACGCGTACCTGCCAAATGGGATGCTTCATATGTCCGCCATTTTTAAATATTTTTGGAAAAAAAAATACGTATGGACAGTCCAAAACATATATAAATAAATGTTTAAGTTTGAAAAATATAGAAAAATTCTTTCTCCTACAAAAAAATTCTTGAAAATAGCTTATTTTTCCTCGTTCTAATTGGATTTCCCCCCTTAAATTTATAAAGTACCGCAATTCGTAAGACTCAATGTATATAAGGATTTGGAACCAAAATGGCGTCGAAAAATGTGCATAGTGCACACTTTTATAACGTTTCTATACATTAAATGCAAATTATCTACACTTTTATAACATTTCTACACATTAAGTGCAAGTTATCTAACCTGAGATGACCTAACAAGGAGATCCCAACCTGCTAAATTGATTTCTGAACGAGACATAGCACGTTCGCTAAATGCCATGTTAAGCATCAACATGTGTGTGTGCGTGTGTGTGTGTGTGTGTAAGTTTATAAATATTATATTAGGAAATATTTTATAGATAGTGCAGATGATGGAAGTACGACTACTTATAATTTACTTTAGGGGTATACGTTCAAAATAATTATTTATTATTTCTGCTGAGTCTGAGTCACTAGATTTCTCACTCGAATCTTCAACTATTAATTTTAAAACTTCTTTAAATATAAATTTTTTCTGTACGTTTTCTTCCATATTTCAAGGTTAGCTTGTTTATGTTTGCTTGCTTCCTTGCTGTGACTACTAAAATCAGCGTTCCAATTTGGAAGTCACATTCGTACTACCAGCGTGCTTACTAAAATTGGAACGCTATTGGCAGCATGCTTTTATGACGTCATGCTATCAGCGCTGGCAATAATTTTGGAGCACAGCCATAGAATGGACTGCTGAGTGCGGTGATGGGAATGGGAACAGATCTAGAGTGAGAGGCGGCATATAGTAGAACCATAGACATAATATATCTAGACCGAGCGTTTGCCTTTATTTGAAAAGTGGGAGTAGGGACTGGGAGAAAAAATGGCACTGTGCCTTAGAGATGGTGCATGTCTTGGAGATGTGCACTCACATACCATACGCGAATGAGAGAGAACGTACCATCTCAAGACACAGTGCCATCTTTTTCTGCCTGAGTCCCTACCCTCACTCCTCAACGCTTGATCTAGATATATTATGTCTATGAATAGGACACGTCACAGATGTCTATACTAAATTAGATTGCTAACCAGGGCTTCAGACTTGCGTCGCATGAGGTCTCCGGTTGTATGCAAGAAAATGGCGGCGGTCCTGTGTATGTGACGTGTATCACTTGTGTGAGTATCTTACACGTACAGTACGAGCTAGCGTGGCCATTAAATTGCTGTCATAAAACCAAAAATGCCAGCATCTTGTTGTATCAAAAATTGTCGCAACAAAAAAAAAGATGATATTGGACGTTATTTGCTCTACTTATTTTCAACAAAAGAATTTTATGATTAAACGTATAGGAAATATAGTTATGATATAAAAAATATACTAACGTATAGAAACGTAGTAAAAATATGCGGCATATAAATAATGTGGCGGCAGCGGCTATTTTCTCGCATACACCGGAAACTCTATCGGACGCAAATCATGCTATCCCAATGATGATATGGTTAGTAATCTAGTTTAGCATAGATATCTGTGAGACACATTCAGTCTCTTTTCCAAGCAGGAGTGCAGCGCATCGTAACAAAACCCTAATCCTACCGATAATTTATAATAAATGTTTCAAAGGGTTACTTGAGATTTCCATTTGGTATAATATTTTTAATATTTAAAAGATATTATTGTTTTATACATAATAACATTTCATTAGTATTAAAATGAGAATAAGTATGAATACATATGTAAACAAGTAGGTAGAAAAAGAAATGCAAGTCGATATCATATACGCAGTAGTATTTATTAATTTGTTAGGTGACAAAAATGTACCATTTTTAATTTTGTATTACATAATATTTTCGAATAACGTAATATATAATAGAGATATAGTGTGAAGTAATACTCTCGCACCTGGCTTGGGGCATACTTTCGCAGTATATAGTATTGCTGAAATTCCTGCAGCCAATCAGATTTTAATAAACAGAGATGATATCTTACTATATGCTGCTTCTCACTCTACGTCTTTTTCCATCCTCATCACCGCACTCAGCAGTCCATTCTATATGTCGATAGTTCATGTCCATGTCAGCGCGTACAGCGTTCGTCTCACCGCAGCGTACATGCCGATTGGTCAGTGGGCTGCCGCTCGGTAGAAATCTTTTACTATTAATATCTCAAAATTGTACGTGATTATTTGATAAATAACCAGTCATTATAAATGTGAAATCTAGTAGATTTTTTTGTATACTTTTTTTGTATATTTTTATAATTCCTCAAATTTTATTATATATATATATTGTGTCCATGCGAAAGCGTACATCGATTAGTACTGATGCTCCCGACGAAGATAATTGCAATTTGGACAAACACACGTGATGTCAAGTCAACAGAGTGACAGAAGAGTCGCACACGAACATGTGGCGATTGAGAGCGCGAGATTAAAAGATAAAGCGAGGGCTTTGTAAATAGTCTAATATTAATGTCTAGTTTTCCTAAACATATTGTTCATCTATTGCCCGGACGTAAAAACGCGAGTGAGCGTAACAATATGATATGATTGCGTAACAATGTGATTAA